CAACTTTCGTCACCGCTTAGGTTTCGATGACACTCAATCATCGTTCCTGGAAGTGCAACGAATATTCAACCGTGCAGTGCATCACTTGTGCCACCTATGAAAATGCGTTGTGGAGTTACCTACATTTGGTACGGTCTAGGAACTTGACCTTGTCCTACGGTTGAAAGGAGCTATCATTTAAAGTCATCTGGTGGCCAAAGGTTTCTAGGGTCAAACAGAACATTTGTGTTTCTGCTCCAAAGTTGCCTGATGTCCTTGGGAAGAACAATACAGTTTTGCACGGCCCAAGAATCTAAATACTATTGGAAATAAACAAACGACGATGAATCAAAAAATAAATATATCAAATTTAATAAAAGTGATTCTCAATTGCCAAACACATCTATGGAAATCCAATTGGTCATGGCTCAGCAACCAAAGAGTAGTCAACGTCGATCAAGAATGAATTCGGATTATATATGACATGTTTGATAATTTGAAGAAAAAGATAATTAATGACCAGATACGTAATCGTTTATCTACGAACAAAGCAAACAAGTTCTTTCAGAAATCCGATAATCTTTGGCTTATATCGTAACTCGATTTAGAGACGAGAAATTTTATTAAGAAAAACTATTTGATCTGAGAGGCGATATTTATTAATTACTTATATAGATTAAAATTAGAAGACCCTTATACTAAGCAATTTAAATATTATATAAAAAAATTCAGAACGGATTTGATCATAAAATTAAATAGAATCAAAATGTGTTATATAAGAAATATAAGATTTCTAGATCGGAACGTTATTGTAGATACCATCTCAAAAGAAATTTGGAAAGTACTATTAAATCTCAATTCCATTTTTATTCTACTTTTGAAATTTAATTAGATTATTCATTTACTCCCATCTATTATCGAAATCAAATATCCCGCCCATAGCTTAGATACTTGAGCCTAACACAAAACGAAGGTTTTTAAAAATTTCATATTATTCATAATTCTAATATATGTATCTTGAAAAAAAAAATTAAATTAAATATATATTAATTTTGAGATAATAATTACGAAGAACTTAAATTAAATAGAATTTCATTTTTTTTCGTATTTATTCTTAAATTATAACCTTTAGCTAAATTCTTTAAATTTATTACGACATCCAATATAATCTAGGCCTTGAGTTTCCGAATTTAAGAATAAATATCGCATAATAACGAATATAAACTTTTCGATCATCGTATTATTCATACCGAACGAACGATATAATTCATTATCAAAATTTGTATAGAAAAATTCGCATATCAATTATAAATACCAAATTTTCCAGAATTATATATTTATATTCACAGAATCAAAAAAAAAATTACCAATGCATAATATCAAAATCAGAATCATGTTTTTCTATTTATTTTCAATAAATCAATATTACGAAAAAAATACAATAGCAATTATATTTTCAGATTTTAGACCAGAATCGAAAATCGACCAAATTACAAAAATCACAAAAGAAATTCGATTAGAACAAATTCTATAATTTTAATAGTATATATTTTTCTTTTTTTTATCGAATTTACCGATATCCTAAACCGTATTAAATATATTAATTCCAAGCAATGATATTTGAGCCATGAGCCGGCCAACCTGTTTGCGTTCACATGCGACCGACAGAAACGTACCAGCACGCACACCTTCTTCGTGCAATGCACTTCGGCAGGTCTACATGCGCCTTCAACGCATTTTGGCGAGTCTACATGCGCTTTCAGTTGAAGTCGAATGACCAGGACGCATCCTTTTCCACATCCACCTCACCAAGCGGCACAACCTGGACGATAGTATTATGGTCTAGTTCAGGGTGTAGCTGCGTAGCTGGCGAGCTTAGACAACGATTCCAAATACGCGAAGGTACGTTACGGTGCGTTGATAAACAAATACGATGGGGGAAGGAGATACGCAGAGACTGTGGGTACGCCGTTGACAGATACTTTTTACGACACTGAAACGTGCATCTTCACATCCCGAACCCTAAAGGAACATACTTAAGAACCGGCCCTGATCCACCAACTCTAAACTGAAAAATCATCTCAATAAGTCAATTTTGAATTTCGGCCGACCTTGAAACGCTGGTAGGCCCAACCATGGATGTACGCCTTGCAAAATGGAAAAACGCAGTGCAGTGGTGGCGTTTAAGAATGCAAAGCTTCAGGCTTTGAACTTTGTTGTGGTTTAGGGCTGCGGTAAGCTCCCCGAACTTTACACTACACCCAAGTCCTCGGCGTTTGCCACATGCCCGCCCATGTGAGTGCCGACCAGTGTAACAAAGCCTTCGCAAGCGGTCGAGGGTTCGGAGTTTACCACAAGTGCTCGGTGGGTGTTGAGGATTGACTTTAATTACAACACATTTATCGTTTTGTAAGTTTTTACTATAGACCTAACACAGATCATACAGAGACCCTGCAACAAAGCTGGCGTTGAAAGTTGAAGGCAGGGTTGAAGGCTGAGGTCCAGGTCGACGTCTGAGCCACAAACTAACGTATGGAACAACACGTGAAACGCCGGTCCGGCAGATCCTGTGCAGAATGCACCCATAAACCTAGAATCCAAGTGCCCCTGAACCCACAGGCCGCAACACTAAACCCCTCACTACTTGTAGCCAAGTAAGCATAAACCCCGCCAAACCTTAATGGAACGGCCTACATCTCACAGACCCAGATCCCAAAGCCTCTTGCAAATCCAACACCCGGAAACGCGCCGCTCGGCCATGTAAAGCTCACGACGTCAACGCATAAACCCTACAAGGCATACAAACCTCAGCGGCTGACTTCAGCACTCTAAAGCCCCAGATCCTCGATGTAGAGACAGCTTGAAAATGCGCAAACCTCCGAACGCACTGAAACCCTTAAACACGAAAGAAAACAAGTAAGGAACTGTTGTGAGTGTGGTTGTGCAGCGCAATCTCGAGATGCCCTCCAGGCACCACAGCGAAGCGCTCCCAGTACCAATTCCTCATAAGGTGGGCGGCGCTTGTAAGCCTCTTATTCATGTTTCCGGGAAGGGTTCTTGCAGAAGTGCATGTGAAACCTTTTCTTTTGTTGCTCTTAGGCCCAGGCACTGACCGCCTTGAGCATGACAGTTTAACAACACATGTATCATAGCTGTAGGTGGCAAACCCAAGTTTCTTTGATGCAGCACGGCATGCCCCGAAGCTTTGTAGCTCCGGGCGGAATCCCAGGACCACAGGCCGACACAGAGCCCACAGAACACTTTGGGTGATGACCGCGAGGTTGCAGACGAACATGGTGATGGTGGTTTGGGGGTACAAGGTCAACTCGGGAAGCTCCTGGAGTTGAGGGGTTTGTCACCCAACATTCGCAACAGGGGTTGACCACCATGTCGCATGTTTCCGAGTTGTTCGCGCGGCAATGAGGTGCAAGCCCAGAAACCGCCGCGTCATTTACATGTTCACGCAAGCCTCGGTGCACCTCAGAGTGAGGATCTTGGCAGATGGGAGCGTCGGGATCACCGGGCACACCCACCACCTTTGTCCGGGTCCCGGAAGGGAGCCCCCGCTACTCAACGCAGAAACGTTGCAGTGCATGCAGCTTTTGAGCAGTGGGCTCCCACCATTTACCTAAATCTGCGCAGCTTTGGCCGCGGCCATCAAGGCGTTTGGAAAACGACGCTTGCCACCGCGCAGCACCCATTGAGGTTTTTGGGGGTCAGTGAAAGGCTCTGGGCTTGTGTTGTCCCAGCAGGCTTGCGCCCAACTACCTTGGAGATCAATAGGAGAATGGTGAAATCATTCCCGTTTGTTGCCTAGGCGTTGAGCGGGCTGTAGATCTCCTTATTAAAGCACTCCTCGTCTGCGAGGATCCGTGAGCTCGCAATCATTTGGGGTTTGCTTGAGCATGGCACAGCTCGGCCGGCGGAAGCCGAAGCCTGCAGCAAAGCCCAAACAACAATTGCAGGAGGAACCTTGGCGCAGCAAGACTTGCAGCTGAGCACTGTCGCAGTCTTGTTGGCTATGCTTCAGGTCGCGGGTGCCGACAGCCAAACAACAGCTGCAAAAGAGGACTTGTCTCTCCCTCTGTCGCTTGATATAGATTTAATTGGGAATGTCTATCATCTGCATTGGTATCTGCTTCATTGCAGTGTGGGAGTCTTCCAAATGGTGCCTTCAAGCAGTGACAGCCGTGTCGTCCGTGAGCCCTGGAAAAGCGGGCAAGTTGCAGCGCCTTCGAGATCATGCGCCGGCCAATCACGGCGAGAACTTTGCACGTGAGGAGGCAGGCAGCAAGCACGCAGTTTGTTGTTGCAGCGCGCAAATGCCGCCCCTCACAAACGACTTGCACAGGGCGTGAGCAGGCAGGTGGAGCTCCAACGAGCTACGTTGCACTTGAAGGGACCAAGCTTCATCGCACAAGACCTGTTTTGTTCTCCTCCACTCGCACAGGTTTGTTGAGTTTGAAACGTGCCACCAGTGCCACGCGAGCGTTGCCGACCACACCCAGCACACAGGTTGGATCTTTGAGTGAGTTCATCCGTAGATGTGTGCTTTTCCTCACGAGGTGCCTCGACAGCCCTCGCACGGTGAGGGCAGTTGGCCCAGCTTTGGCCAGGTAGTTTAGCTGTAAGGGCCAAACCCACGGGGCAAAAACTTCAAACACTTGCTTCGTTGATGGTTCTCTCCAGCAGCTCTTCTCAATTGTCATCATAAGGACTCTATACGAGGCTTAGGGTTTAGGCTCTTTTCGGAAGGGCTCAAGAGCACATGGTTGTGGGGTTGAGCATCCAAGGTTTCAAGGATTTACCCTGAAGGGTTGAAGGCTGTTTGAGGGTCTAGGGTCGAAGGCTTTTTTAACGTTGCGTTTTTCCCTTGGGAGTTCTTCAGGCTTGCGGTGTCAGGGCAAAGTTGAGAGTGAAGGCCTGCAAGGCTTCATTCGGGCCAAGTCTCTACATCCTAGAAATCCGTACATCCTAGCTAGGATTCTTTCTCGCTATTCTGAGTTCTGCCGCAGGGAGTCGTGGGAAGGGCATTGGCAGCCATGGGAGAGCTCGCTCCCAGCGCGGTGCCGCTGCGCATGGACACGAAACGGTTGTGGATGGCGCTATGCCTTGAAAGAGCCAAATCTCTCAACAAGGAAATACATATTATCGGATCCTTAGAGCGTAGTTGAAGCAAACACTGAAGGTTTCCAAGGTACAGGGCAATGTTGCCGTTCCCACCGTCAACCACCGTGAATTGCTCCCAAGTCCATCCCGCGGGGTAGCCGGCCTTATTGGCCAAGTGTGGTGGATGCTCAGCACTGGCGTCCATGTAGGTCTGGTGCATGCGGATGAACCTTTTCCAATGGGTGTTGTAAAGGGCCACCACCATGCCGGGCTTAATGCCACCGTAAGGACCCGTCGGGACGATCTGGAATCTCTCGAAAGCCCAGCCAGCCGGAAACTCGCTCGAAACCGGTGGGCTGGAGTCCATGATGGTGTTGTGCAGCCTCAAGAAGCGACCCTCGGCTTTGTTGTACAGCGCGATGGTGTTGTCCCCCGCAGCGACCTGTTCCAGTTCAAGGGGACGCTTCTGTTTCGGCTGCAGAAGCCCTACTTGCCCTACTGCTAGGGGCGCTTCCGTTTCGGGAATCTCCACCTCCATGAAGCGTGCCTTGGCCCAGTCCCGGCTGTAGCCGGCGGCCGGGTGGTGGTGGGTGGCCACGCACGTGGCTCCTCTTGCTGCTGCTTGTGGTGGAGTGGGACAGGGAATGCCCATAACAAGTCTCTATATTATCCCTTACACAGGTCCCTATCCGTTGAGCACCAGGAGGTCCTTCCATCCACACGAAGCGATTCCACCGAGGATTGTGGAAGGCAACCTCGCCGTTCCCGGCGTCCACCACAGTGAAAAGCTCGAATTCCCATCCCGCTGGAAAATCAAGACCCTGCGGTGAGCTCGTGTCCATAATTGCGTTGTTCATCCTCATGGGTGACACTGCAGCACGAAACGTTCAAGTACAGCTTAAAGGTTGCCTTATCAAAAAGGCTTCTTCCTTCTTCCAGAGCAGTTAAGCGGTAGCTGGTGTCTTCTGAAAAAGCTGGAAAAACTTCCGCCCCTTCGGCTTGAGGGTTTCGGGTCAACGGATTTAATCTTTAGGCGGTTTAGGGTTGAGGTCATGTTCCGGATCCCAAACAGCCTCATGTAGCGACCCCAGTGAGGATTGCGCAAGCCGATGGTGGTGCCGGGGATGAGCTTCGGGACCTTCGCCTTGACCTTCTTCACATCCTTGCTGGAGAAGTCCTTCAGCGCTGCGCCCTCCACATGCTCTTAGGCATCGCTTAATGCTCGTGCATCAAGCAAATCCACTTACCGTCCTAATAAACTCCTAGAGCCCCTATAGGTCATTTAGAGCCCCCAGAAAAACCTTTGGAAAAAACTACAACAAACAACTTGTCATAGCCGCTAACACCATTGGAAACCCTTAGCACAAAAACCCTAACACACCTCAAAAATCCATCCCCTTTCCACTCTTGGTCCTTCAGCGATGCGATCGCCTTGGCCCGGCTCTCCACGGAAACGAGACCGGAGGGCAGTGCGGCAAGGATGGCAGCGAACTGGTCCGCCAAGTTCAGCCTTGGGCTTCGCTTCATGGATGTTCAGGCGTGTTGGATTTCGGGAGAAAGTCCAGGTGCTTTAGGGGCCTGCTTTCCCAAGGGGAGAGAGAAGCCGACGGCAGCCTTCTAAACTCCAAACCCTTCAACTTAGCCCCTAGGCCCTGACCTAAACCTCTAGGCTTTCTAAGGGCTACGGATCCTCACTGTCGAATTTATGGGAGAAGGGTCGAAGGAGTTTCGGTAGTAGGGCACATTCTGGTTAAAGAGTTTAGGGTTTGGCGGTTGGAGTTTAGGGGTTCAGGCTTTGGGGCTAAGAGTTTAGGGTTTCCCAACTCAAGGGCTGCTCATGTGAGCTGAGCGACAGTGGGATCTTCATGTGCGGGCTCTCGTAGGGCCCGAAGGCCATCTGGAGCCCGAGTTGGAGCCAGTTCCCATGCAGGAGGCCCTGGACCTCACAGACGATGCAGAACAGGGGAGATCCGCCCACCCTTTCTTGGGTTGTTCAGGTTTAGGGTCAAGGGCTGAACCCTTTCAACCCGTCGCACACGTATCCATTTTGAACCTCAGCGAATTCCCTGGCATTGTTCAAAGTTGTCGCTGGCATTATTTCAAGCTTTCGCCGGCAATATTTGCTTTGCCGTGTTGGAAACGTAGCGGGCATGGGCACAGAGGCCTTTGCACAATGCCCACGCAACCTGGGGTCCGGCGCGGTGTGTTGGAGCTACAAATCGTTGCTGGGCGCAGTTCCCAAGTTTCGTTGGCGTGTTGCTCACATGACAAGGCGGGCACTCGAAACCTCTACCTAACTCATCCTGCGCCCGAAGAGCCCTACCCTAAATAAACCCTCAACGCCCCAAACCCCTGAGCTCTTTTTTCAGAAACTTCGCTCTGCCTCGAAGCTGATCATCCCGGGGTTCTTGAAGCTGAATAACTTGAAGGTCTCTTCGACTTCCTCCTTCTCTTCGGCTTCATCCTTGTCTTCGGCTTCCTCATTCTTCTCCTTCTTGGCAAGAAGCGCCTGAAGCCAAAGGTTAAGCTTTTGAAGGGTTGGTGGTTTAAGGGTCTCTAGGATCTCGGGTCTGAGGCTTGGGGATTTGCGCTACGGTTTGTTAGGTTTAGGATTGCGGGCTTGTTCACAGGCAGCAAAAGCATCATTACAGAAAGCTCAAGTTTGTTGGACAGAAAGGCCAGCAAAATCCTTCGGCCGGGAAACCCTTGGCCCCACAACCCTCACCACCCTGACAACTCCCCAACACGGACCTTGCAGCCTAAGACCTTGAAGATCTGAAACAACCGTGCAACAAACGCGCAGAAAACAAAACCTACATCCGAAACTCTGAACCCGAAGCTCCAACACCAGCTCACCTCCCTCCGGACGCACGAAAACCCCAGAAGACCATGATAGAACCCTCCAAGGAAGCAAATTCTAAGGCCTCTTCTCTATACCTGTACTATCATATACCCGCAAAGCCCTACTCCAAATATTCATGCCCCCCCTTTTGTTAAAAAAGGGAGGACAGCCCTGATCCAAAGGTCGGGCCTCGAGCTGTTCCTGGGCCGCGTGGCCCCCGAGCTCGGAAGTGATGTTCACGCCCAGATCCTCTTCAGCGGAGCAGGGCAGAAGGCCCTAAACCCCAATCCCCTGAACTTTTTTTGGGGCTTTCGGCCTTGAGGGTGAAAGGGTTTAGGGTGTTTGGGGTTTCAGGTTTCAGTGCTTCGGGCTGTCGAGCTGAGGGTGGAGATTATCCGGGTTGGGTGCTTCGCATCGTGGGCTTTGCTGGTTTGGCCTGCGCAGGGGTCTGAAAGCTGAGAGGTCGACTTCCTTGTTTGGGGGCTGAGCACTTGAGCACTCGTGGGCTGTAGCTTCCTTGGGGCACGCAAGGTTTTTCTGGTGCCCTGGGGTCTATATCATAACAGGTATCCTTCCCGTACTCGATGGATGCGAAGTAGAGGTCATCCTGCCTGGAAACTCCGAGCCGTGGGCTTAACCGGGCTCACAGGGCTTGGGCTTGGTTCTCATTGTTGTCACCATAATATTACTAAATCGTGATTCCTGCTGTATTCAGATGGTTTTCACCATGATAATAGTAATCAGCATTATGATTCCGTTTATTCGTGTCAGCATCTTGCCGTCAAAGGTCTTAGAAGCTCTTGCTGGAGCTTGGAGGCGAAGGTCGAGGTCTCGATCTCGCAGTTGTACTCCCTAACTAAATCCTAAGCCCAGAAGACCCGAAACTAAGTTTGAGGGTTTAGGGCCAGTCTAGGGTTTAGGAAGTCATGAAACCGAGTTGCGTCTCCCACAGAGCTTCCTCCAGCTCCTCCTTGGCTTTCGCGCTCTGGTTCGCCTGGAGGAGGCTCGAACGCTCCATGGAGGCGATGCCCGTTCCGCTCTCACCCGGCGCGGCGTTGACGCCGAAGAAGCTTCGCATGGTCTGGTGGGCTTTGTTGATGTTGCCTTACTCAGGGAGTTGCCCCCAAAGAGGGCAGGGGGTGCTTTGCCAAAAACCTGTCTCAGCAATTCTTACCTAGGCGGATAGAATGCGGGGATAAGCAATAGTAAGTTAATCTTATTTCAACCTGTAGTTAAAGCGCAACCTTCCGAGAAAGCCCCTGCAGCCGAATGCAAAACATTCTCAACCCCATTAACTCAGACCCCTCGCTCGGCCTTCCACAAAGTCCGTGTTGTCGCCGAACCGCTTGGATAGACGCAGCGTGCGGCTGAAGAGCATGACCCCGTTGGACTTGATCACCGTGCGCAAGACGCTGAGGTCAAGCCCCTCGGGCTGACCCCGCGGCCAGCAGACCTTGTGGCAACGGTGATCGCGATCAGACCCAGCAACTGAAGCATCATCACCATCAGCATGGTCAGCATGAGCATCATGGGCACCATCATTGTCATTCACGATCAGTGCCATACTTCTTCCTCACCCTCCTCCTCCTCCCTCATGATGATGGTGATGATCGTCATGATCTCACCATCACTACCACCTGCGCCAGTGTCATCGTCAGCATGTCAGTGTCGTCACCATGCCAGGAACTTGTTAGCGGGCCTAGCCACAAGCTCGGTCAAGCATGCACGCTGTGACCGGTACTACTGTTGTTGCTGTTGTGATTCTCGCTTTTGTCTGTGACACTGGCGTTGTCGTGTTCAATCTTAAACTGGCATTGTCTTTGCACTTGGCCTGAAGACGGCTGTTGTCACCTTTGCCAACGTCGCCATCACCATCGTCGCCCTCCTCCTCCTCTTCCTACTCCTCAATCTCATCCACTTTCCTTTCTGCTCGCTGAAGGCTCCAGGTGCCCAGGCCACGCTTACATGCTCTTTGTTTTGAGTGTCTGGTAAGCTTGCTGATAGAGGCATCATTCTGCATGCTTGCGGCTCAAGGCGAGCGGTGCAGTCCATGGGTTGCGTGGTGCGGGGGAGAGAGAGCACGTCTGTGGTGTAGGATTTAGCAGGGTTGAAGTTCAGAGCCGGCGTAGAGTCTGGGATGACTAGGGATGCCCGCGTTGGCACATGATTGCAGATCGAAGCACAAACGCAAGGCACCGTAGCCACGTGGAGGCGCTCGAAAATGGAAGCTTGTCTCCAGCCCACGCCGCTCCCCGCCTGCCTCTACCATCGTGTCCCACCACGCAAGGCAATTCTGACATGTGATTTGGGAATCACCTGTGGTCGTGTTCCCGCATGAAAATGGAAGAGGAGCAGGACCGCCACAGCAGCTAAAAACCAGGCCTTCAACGGCAACATCCAGCATTAGAGAACCGCCCAACCTCACCCTCTTCGGCTCATGCGCATATTTCTCTTGGAGCGCGCCAGCCTATGCACAACATCCTGCGAAAGCGAAGAGGCTGTGCAGGCTGAAAGAAGCTCATGAAACTGACTGGACTGTCACTCCCCTTCAAGCTCCGGACCGTGGTGTCAACTTCTGCCAAGGGCCCAGGCAACAAGTCGAACTGGATGCCACCCACGAAGGCGACCAC